GATCTAGTCTATTTGTAATATTCTCATTTGAATTTTTAATTTGGTTTATAGATTCCTGCATTTCTAGGATTACTGTTTGATTTTTTTTTAAGATCTCTATCTCCTGGTAAAGCTCATTCTTTGCCATTTGAATTTGTTTGTTTAATTCATTTTCAAAATATACTTTTATTGCTTGGACTTTCTCCCTGCTTGCTGGTCGCTTCTCGGTGGCTCCCCGCTGTCTGTAGCCGCGGGGCAGGCCCTGCGGATCAGTCTGCCTGGATCTCTGGTTGCACAGTTGGCTTGTGTATGAGACTCAATTACCGGACCTCGGTGCTGAAAATTCTTCCTCTAGGTTTCGGTGCTGAAAATTCTTCCTCTAGGTTTCGGTGCACCACCATTTTGCTGTAAGTTCCTAACAAGATAGATTTTTGTCGTTCTAACTCGTTATTCACCCGCGCAGTTGCGCGGTACATGGGGTGTGATGCACTCTATTCGCGGCCATCTTGGGAATCTCCTCAAATTCTAATTTACATTAACATCTTTTACACTGTATCCAGTGACATGGCTGAAATAAATTTACCAATTATAACAACTTGGGAAAAAGTGCTAACAAGTTATAACATTAGAGCTTAGAACAAATTCAATAAATTAGGTCCAAGAATAGAGAACTGCTTTTATGCAATATGGCCATGAGGACAAAAAGCCCCATATAAATCCAACTACAGTATGTTGTAGCAAAAATTTCACAAAGCAACTTGATGGATTTTCTGGGGGAAAGTGCTATCAATATGAAGGTGAAGAAATTTTAATCGTTTTTTTTAATGGAATTCTGTTGCACAAGTTTCATGGCTAAAAAAAGAGGTACTATCTGACTGAAAACCCAGGAAATTAATTATGCAAAGACTATAATAAAATAATATATATATAAATAATATATAATATATTATATATATATATATATATATATGGTAAAGTCCCTCTTTTCTCATTAAAAAAGTATACATTCTCTCTATTTCCTGTTTTAAAATTTATAATCTGTAGACTTCCATGTGTCTCCCCTAAATTTCAGTGTGCATTTACCAGGGGGTTAACTGGGAATATCAGGTGGGGTAGATCCAAGACTTTCACAGAAAAGTTAAATGTTAAGTAGATTGTTTTTCAGGACTAGATAAAACAAATACAAGGTCGAGAACAAATTTCACATAATTTTAAGGTTTAAATAAAGTTTCATGGTCGCTAAGCTAGTTCTAAGAAACATGGAGGTCATACGGCAACATGGGCCTTATTTTCTAAAACACCACTACGATTACTATCAATGCAAGTTATTATTAATACCAATACAGTAACTGCTTACTAGAAACACAGATTCCTATGTAGTTTAGGGTTCGGGCAAAAGGGATTTGATAGCCTTGAATACTACAACTTTTTCCTATTCTAAAATTAAACTTTTAAATTATATGTGGCATATACCGCTTAACGTGACTATAGAGAAAGAATGGGAAAATAAACCACAGGCATTTAAAATTCTCCTTAAAAGCTACTTTTTAAAAATAGGAAATTGTGATGTTTTTTCTTATACATTAGGCTGCTGACATATTCATAAGTTTTCCTCTTTTGATCTGAATAACTGAATAAGATAATATTATATTTACAGGTTTACTAAGCTACATCTCATTTTATCAGTTAAACATTTCTGATTAGGTCACTACTTAGTTACAGTTCTTGTCTTTCTGAATGACTTGTCCTGATTTTATGTTTTTCAACAATTTCACATTTGTACCATTCTAGGATTGACTAAGAGCACAGAATATATGAATATGATATAATTAGGTGAAATGCAAAATTGCTATCACTCTAATTATAGCACACATACAAAAGAGTATCTGACCCTAAAAAGTTTTAGAGAAATCCCCTCAGCCACAACATATGACAGCTGTGTATTCTAAACTCTGTACTCATTCTGATATTTTAATAATTATATCAAATACTTTTGTATGCTTCTTTGAGTTTTCCAGAGGTTTCACTTGTATTCTCACTGGATGGCAGGTAGGTTTATCACAGGTATGTGATAAACAGTTAAAGGTTGTATTCTCTTTTATTGGTAAAACTGCCAGATTTACTGTTATATATTTAATGTCCTGAACACAATTTAGATTTAGGCTCCAAAGAAACTGATGGTAACTGTAGTGAGAATTAGGAGAGACACTCACTGTGAGCCATATCATTTGCAATGGTAAACTCCATCAAAGGACAGTTATTAATAAGTACATTTAGAGGAGGACAAGTTCTAACATCATAACAAGAACAACAAAATCTTCTTTTAACTATTTTTAGTTTGTAAAACTCACTGGTCTTCTAAAAATAAGAACAAACTAAGACACTTTTGCTAATAAGAGGAAAGTACACATAAATCCGAGAAGTGAGGTATACATTTTTCCCAGAACAATACTTGAAACCAGGTATGATCAGAACCATGGTGTGACACAATCTACAAACAAGGGAAAAAAACAAGACTATTTTGTAGAAATTAACTGTTAATAATCCTAAACTAATCCTTATCTTTTGACAAAGATAAAAAATATACTCATCACTGATAATTTTGTATGTTATTAGCTGAATACCAGCATTCACATAAGCCACTGTATCTGTAAACCTGTGCTGAAACCAGATAACTGTGATATCTGTTACATTTCATTCATTTGGGACAATCCTCTAACACTAACCCATCAAGGGAATAAAAGCATACTAATATCATTAAGTAGTTTAAAATGGATAAGTTCAGCAAATGCTGGGATTTAATAACTGTCTTTGTTTAAATTTAACTAAATTGTGTCAACGGGCTGGCAATATTACCATTCATTCGTAATAAAACCAACAAGAAGATCAAATGACTAGAAACTAAAATAGCATTGGGAGGCAGAGTCATAAAAGATGTATGATGAAAAAGGGAACACAGCATCGATTTCAATAGGTAGTTCTGAGTAACTTTCTGAATCACCAACTGAAGGATTTACACATTCTCCTGAAAACATGGTTGCTAAAAGCAAATTCTGTGTTTTGTTTCTATGCTTATAAATGACATTATCTTAAAGGGACAAAGGAATAAGCACCTACATTAATTCCTTTCATTAAAGTGCTAGAGTAGTACAAATACATTTCTTTATGAATCCCAATTTACCCCATATGAACACAACAGCAATGGGAGCTGTTTAAAGGCCATCCTACCTGTGCTTTTTGATGCCATTGGAGAGAGCATCTCCTCCACCACAGTCTTTTCCTTCAGACATTCTGTGTTTTCTACTGTTCAAGTGACCTTCTTCCTCTTCAAAGGAGCGTGCTGTCACTGCTTCCAATTGACTCAGGGACTGCTCGGACTCGGAATCTGTGGCAGAGCAGGTTCATGGTGAATGAAGTGAACTTTGGTACAAGGCTTCTGTAACAATGGATATCTCCCTTAATGCATCGGGCTTTGAAACTTAAGCAGCCTACTTTGTCCTTCAACAATCCATCCGTTAACTACCTCCTCAGGGATTTTAGAGAACCTGCACCCAATAATGTTCAAGTGGATTTGTGAAACAGATGGACACTTACATAAACATAATTAAGCCAATCATAAACCAAAAGAGATTTCCAAAGATTACCTGATTTTTTAAGAAATCATATTTAGTGGTTTCTCCCACTCCACATTTCTATTATCTTCCCTCTCAAAGCATCTTAGGCATGATTTACCAAAAAAAAAAAAATCTATTTTTAAAACTCATGTATAATTAAAAAGCAGTAGTAGCTATACTTATGAGAAGTTTAATTTAAATTACATCCAATGCTGTAGACACAAAAGTAAAGGTAATTTTAAAATACATTTAAAAATACTTTTTCAATGTGATATTATTTAAATCCTCATGAACTAAAGCCCGAAGAAGTATCCATATATTAATTATCAGGCAGGCATTCTTAGGATGGAATGCCATGTTCCCAACTGATTATGTATTCAGATTGGAGCCATCTGCCTGTTTGAAAATAACAAGACAACTCATTTTTGTCCAGCCCATGATGGCTTTCAGGCACTTGCACATTCTCCATCTGAGCATCTCCAAGATACTCTGGTGAAGGGAAGGCAGAGGAATGGGGGTGATCAACAAGTGAAAAGCCTATGGCTTATGAGTAGGTGCGCCAGGATTGAACCCAGGTTTTCTGAATACTTGTTCAACACTTTATTTCAGCTCAAAACACATTATTTAATCTCTAAAAAACTTTAAATGGTGCTTGAATTTTTATTAAAGTGGAAGACCAAGATAACCTTCAACTTCCCATTGTGACTATCAAATCGCCTGTCCTCACCTACGGGACAGACTTGGAAACACATTTGTGCAAACTTCCTCAAACACATTCATCAGCAATCACTAAGATTATGTTATGACTTAACTCTTCAGAAAACAAAATATTTTAGGGCTTTCTTCCCCAACAACTGCACTCCATAATTCAGCCAAAATCTTGAGCTTTATCATTACTAGGTTGGTTCAGAAGAACTGTAGGGGCTTCAGAGTTGCAGGTTAGAACAGATAGTATACCTTGAGCTTTGACCAAGACACTCTGAATGATGAAATGACTTACAGAAAGACTTTCAACATTGGGAAAGTCCTTTTCATTTGCTACAAATACAAATTTAATAAAATTTCTAGCTGGGTTTGTGGCTCAGTGGTAGAGCACTTTCTTATTACCTGGTACAAGTGAGGCACTTGTTTCAATCCTCAGCACCACATAAAAATAATAAATAAAATAAAGCCATTTTAAAAAATTTCTAAAACCATAGCTTTGTTATCTCACACATCTTATAATGAAGAAGTATATGGCAGACCCCCTCTACCCATGGCCTCAGTTACCCAAGATCAACTACCGTCAAAAATACTAAATAAATTCCACAAGTAAGCAATTCATAAGTTTTAAATCATGCACCCTTTTCAATAGCAAGATGAAATATCTTTCCATCCACTCTGTCCTGCCTGGACAGAGGGTACATGAAATAGACTGTAATCTGACCATATTTTGGAGTCAGCAGAGATGTGAAAGCAAAGGCTACTAAGGGAGATGGCACAATAGTAAATGTTTAAAAAAAAAAAAATGGCACTCAGCAGAGGCTAGATTGCTTCTCTGGGGGAGCAACAGGCAAAGCCAGAATCAAAGATGGCAACAGCAGTCTTGGAATGGTGGGTCAAGGTGGGTTTTCATATCTAAATTTTAAAATGTGTTTCACATAAAAAATTAATAATTTAGAGTCAAAATAACTGTCTGCATTGGTATTATTAAGATACATTCTTAGCTCATAATTTAGATATCAAAAAAATCAAAAAACTTTAAGCATTTATCAAACATTATTATACACAGGATATTGAGTTTGCAATTTAAAAGGATAAGACTTGCCTACTTAAAAAGGTTTTTTTTTTCAAAGTAGATATACAGTAAACACTAAACAAGAGCAATAATAGATTTTTATGAAGTAAAAAAAGTTTTTTCCCAAAACAAGATTTCTATGTGGTGAAATATATAAGCTGGAAATCTACTACCTTTATCTGTATCAGTTACTGTAGGAATACACACTATGGGAACATTGTGCTTAGCCCCAAGGATATATAATCACATGGCATTAAAGATCCTTGTCCTCTGTGGTTAGCAATACCTGATCCACTCCTTCTGTCCCCTCACCTTATCTACCTCTCTTCGATTCCTTTCATCTCTGCCCTCTCCCTTATCCTTATTCTTCTTTACATGACCCTCAAACTCCTTCTCTTATTAAGTTCATATTGCAAAGTCCAATGGTAATTTGCAATTCTAATTTTGACTCAAATACCAGATCTGAGACTACTGAATTCACTCCTCCCTTCCTTGTATCATGTGCAGGGCATGTGAGAGTCAAAGGATGAGGAACAGTTCCCACCTGTGGTCCAGCAGAGGTAGACTGGGGAAACCACTGAATTCAGTATATTTGTCTAGGTATAATAACAACACAAGTCTAAAAGCAGACAAAGTGCCACAAAGGGGCATCACTTTGGAGTGGAGAAAAGAGTGTAAGGAGTAAGAGCAGGGGCAGAGGACAGATATGACACAGGAACCGTTCCAGGCAAGGAGAACAGCATGTCCCAGAGAAAAATGAGGGAATCAGGAAAGATGGTAGATGAAGATGGAGAATGGGAGTGGTAGGGTGAAGGCTGTGAGTCAGTCATGAAGTTGACCATGTAGGATAAATAAAAATCAATGGCAGATAGTGGGAAAAAGAGGAATAAAATGAAGCTAGGAATGAGACAGTTAACATCATGTGCCATTGACAGGCTATAATTGCTAGAGGTAAGTCCACTCAACTTTCAAGGTTCAAAGGTGAAAGAATGCAACACAATCAATTGTATGATCTATAATACTGTGAAACGAAACCTAGTTCCTTAATAACAAAAGTTCAGTCATTTCTAGTTCTATAAGCAGGAGTGTCTGATGTATGCAGTGTAAAATAAACTGAACTTAAGTTTTTGGCAATAGGAAATCATTTGTAATAGATTATAACTTCTTAGCACTAGTCACATGAAGCTTATTTCTAGTATGACATCATTTCACATAAAGACCAACAATTCTTAAGATTTAAATTCAAACATGTTTAGATAAATATTAAATAGGCTACAATGACCATTGAGTTTTACTGATGAAGGTCAAAGCTTATCCAAAGATTAGCTTTTCAAGCTTCCTGGTCAAGTAAATTAGTGATAGGTTTCAGGGTCTCTGGGGCAATAATTCAATTTTTTCTTTTTTTTAAATTGGGGATTAAACCCACAATGTACCAGTAAGCTACATTCCCATTCCTAGTCTTTATCTTTTTGAGATAGGGTCTTGCTAAATTGTTGAGATTGGTCTTGAACTTGACCTCCTCCTGACTGGACCTCCCAAGATGCTAGGATTACAGCTGTGGGTTCTACAATTTTTTGGGGGGTGGGGGTGCATACCAGGGATTGAACTTAGGGCCACTCAGCCATTAAGTCACATCCCCAGCCATATTTTGTATCTTTAAATATATTTAGAGACAGGGTGTCTCACTGAACTGCTTAGTGTCTCACTATTGCTGAGGCTGGCTTTGAACTTGCGATCCTCCTGTCTCAGCCTACAGAGCCTCTGGGATTACACGCATGAGCCACCCCACACCCGCCTGAGTTCTTCAATTATTATTATTTTTTTTAATGTGGTGCTGAGGATCGAACCCAGTGCCTCATGAATGCTAGGCAAGTGCTCTACCTCTAAGCCACAAACCCAGCCCCAATTTTGCCCACACATAAAGTATCAAATAGATCAGGCCTTATATAGACTATCGGTTGTTACTGGGCAATATAGTAATGGCTTAGTGTGAAGCAAAATGTATCAGAAAAGAGTGTGTTTTATGCTTCCCATGTGCTAGCTGCTGTGTTCTTATAGTAGTAGTCTAAGCTACAATACTTAGGCTGGGGTAGTAGCTCAGTGGTAGCATGCTCACCTCACGTGGGGAAGGCACTGGGTTCGACCCTCAGCACCACATAAAAATAAAAATAAAGGTATTGTGTCCATCTACAACTATATATATATATATATTTTAAATGGGGGGTGGAATGGAGAATTAATGTTTAATGGGTAAGGAGTTTCAGTTTGAAATAATGAAATAGTCCTGGAGATGGATAGTGCTATAATTTGGATCTTAAATGTCACCCAAAGGCCCATAAGTTAAAGGCTTAGTCCTCAGCTTGCATTATCAAGTGGAGTGAAAACTTCAAGGAGTGGGGAGGTCTTTTCTCCAAAACTGTGAGCCAAAATAAAGTATTTCTCTTTATAAGTTGATTATCCAGGTATTTGTAATAGTGAAGAAAAGCTAACAGATGGGTGATAATGGTTGTAGAACATGAATGTAATGAACTTTACTGGACCGTACACTTAAAAATGGTTACAATGGTAAATTTTATGTTTTTATATGTATATAAAATATTATATAACACGACAACAAAAACACTTCCAAACAAGCAGACAAATAAAAATCTATCAATCCAAGTCCAAGATCTATCACGTTGGATGGATGGATCACATTCTGGTCCTGTTAGTTCTCACCTTAATGCCAATTACAAAAATAACCATATAGAAGGAAAACCAAATTTTTCTGTTTTTAAATGCAGCAGCAAATTATTTTAACAATATGTAGCTAGATTTCAGATAATGCTAACTAGCCTTTCATTATTCTTATTTTCCACTGAATTTTCCCCTTATGTACAGATAATAAAGCAAAGCCACTTAAAATTTTCAAAATACTTCAGTGACCCCTGGAAAACAGGGTAAGGGATTTATGAAACAGTCAAACACTATTCACTAAACTTTTGGTGGGCAATT